AATACAGTCTTAAAAAACTTGATTTTGGTTCTAAAAATCAAGATATCATGACATGTAGACAGAGAGAAAATGTGGATTCACATGGAAATAAAATATCACACAAAATATCATGGAAGCTCAGAAAAAAATACTTTGGGCATGAGAAATTTTATTTTGGGATGAGAACATGGGAATATATTTTAAATTGTTTATTGACAGTTGGTAGATCATTTTTTCTCATTTCTCTCTGTGTGGTACAGATGGGAGACTAACATCTCCAAATTCATTTCTAGGTTATACATATGTGTAAATTAGACTGTACAAATTACAGGTCTTCTTTGTGTGCTTTATTAAATCCTGTCAAAGCTGTTATTAAACTGATTTTATATTGTCAAGTACTTGTGAAAATTGACAATGTAGATTTGTGAGTCAATACTCCAAAATACATAAAAGTATGAGAAAATGTTAGCAAACTAATGCTAAACTGTATATGCTTATGCACCATTATATATAAAAACAGTTAATTCATATAAAAACAGTAGTAAATTTAGAAAAAAGATTGTTTCTTACCATTCCAGGGCTTCTCTCATCCTGATAAAATAGTGAACTTCCCTATTGGTTCCAATATTAGAACAATTTGGTATACTCATATAATTCTGTTGCTATCCTCTAGTTCTATCCAATAATTACTTTCTAGATTTTGTGAGGATAGAATATTATGATTCTTGCAGCAGCAGTGGTCTTCAGACTAAAAACTACTAATTTTTCTCTGATCTTCATTTTCCCACTCATATGCTGCCCACAGTCTCCTAGGGTATAGTAGAGTGTAGCTTCAATTTAAAAGTAGTTGAGCTAGTTGAAGCTATTGGGTTTAGTCACATAAAGCTTTATCCACAGAATTTTTATGATGTAGAGTAGAAACAAGCAAAGTAACAATCCTGACAAGTTTAAGTATAATCCTCATTGTTGAATAGAAAAGTTCTCCAAGTCTGACTTTCTATCTTTTAGCATTGCACTTAGCAAAGTTGAATTTTCTTGTGAAGTGTTAACAACTTTTTCAATCCTCTTCTATGTGCATTTCCCTTAAAATTCAAAGGAATCTAAATTTAAAGCACTGTAATATTAAGGAAGAAGAATTATATTTCAATGTGTTGTGCTTCAAGCATGTAATTGGAAAGAAAAAAGCATCAAAAACGAGAATAATGACAAGGCATTCAGGCATTGAATTGGCGTATTTGAAAATTGTGACTTATACTGGATTAGCCATTCTAAGCATATTATTTGTAGAGCAAAGGGAAAATTGATTATAATGTATAATCTATAAAGAATTTGACCATATTCACTTAATAACCACTCAATTTTGGCACTTTCCTAATTAATGTGTCTGGACTTGAGGTAGGAATGGAAGTCTAAAATCATCCCCATATCTTTTTTCAAGTATCTTAGAGAAAACAATAGGTTTCACTAAGTAATTACTGAGAGCATGCATTTATTAAGTGCAGTGCTGGGTGCAGGAGATAGCACAGTGAAGAAAATAGAGCTCATTTCCTAGTAAGGAAGATAATAAAGAAAGAGACAATTCAGAAAGAGTATGAAAAGTGTTTATGCTAGGGAGAAAGTTGGAGCTGAATGGAGGGTGGTAGGATAGAAAAAAGAAAATGGAAGATACAACTCTGCTTAGGAAAAAGTGGAAAAAGATATATTTCATTTGCTACCTGTTCCTTTGAGATACCAGTAGTATCTTGGCATGTTCATATGAAAATGTCTGCTAGACACTTGAATTTGCAAACTTTGAAACTCAGGACAGATATTTGGTCTGAAGGATAAGATTTGGGGATCTGTAAGCTTTTGATCATTGGGGAATAGTTTAGATTAATTTGAGAGAGTGCAAAGAGGAGAAAAAGAAACCTCAGGGAGAAATCTCAAGAATCCCTAATAATTACGGAATAGGTAAGGGAGATTTCACTTGAGAAAAAAACGTTATCAATACTGAAAAATTGAAAACTAGTGTAAGAAGGGGACGGGAGTAATTTTGATGAGTTGTATAGTCATCTATTAGCAAAATGACAAAGAAAGCACATTTCAGGGCTGAAGAGATAGTACTGGGTTGAGATGCATGCCTTGTGCATGAGCAACCCACAATATACCACATTGTATCAAAGCATCACTGGGACCAGACCTTTTGCCAGGTATGGTGCTGACCTCTGAGCATGAAAATATATGGCTCTAAATTTGAACAAATATCTGTTATTAAATTAAATATCAATTAGTGTAGTAAATCTTGTAAGACTAAAATAAAAATAGGTAAGCATGTATTTTACTGTTTTCAAACAATTATCACTGTCACTGTCCTCTCATTGTTCATTGATTTGTTCGAGTGGGCACTGGTATCGTCTCCATTGTGAGACTGGTTGTTACTGTGTTTGACATATCAAATACGCCATGGGAAACTTGCCAGACTTTGCCATATAGGCGGGATACGTGCAGATCGGATACTCTCAGTAGCTTTCCGGGCTCTCCGAGAGGGATGGAGGAATCGAAACCAGGTCGGGCGCATGCAAGGAAAATGCACTACCCACTGTGCTATCACACCAGTCCTTCAAACAATTTTTATATACATCAAATAACTGGTCAAAGGTTTTGAGGTTTGTAACAGTTTATTCATGCAAACACTGTCTTTTCATTTTTAGAGACATACAACACAAATTCACGTTAATCAGGTTGTATCTCTGACCAGTGGGTAGAATTAGACAGATCATCCTCATCTTATTAAAGAAGAAATTTCTAACAATGAGTAGTCAAAAGAGAAAGGCTGAGCTTGCTCCCACAATCAAAAATTGCCACCATTGCCTGGTCAGACTCTACCATCTCAGAATGGTCTCGCAAAGGTATTAGTCTGCTGAAAATTCAGATATGCGGGCTTTGTGACTGAAGTCTCCAAGCTTTCTCAGAGTTGGGATGGGCTAACTTCTCCCACTTTACTATATGCCTGGAAGCACCAGCAGTCACCCCCACAAACCGACTCCAGCCCACCATGTAAGCTCTTCAGAGACCCATAAATAAATCTCTAAAGACATTTTTAAAATGCAGTTAATTTCAGACCTGTGCTAGGTTGAACAAACCGGGATAGATCACTTGGGGGACGTGTATAGGCAAGAAAGGGTTAAGTGAGATAGGGGTTACCCTGGTGCCCACCCAAATAGAGCCTCTGGCAGCCACTTGTTGGCACAATCAAAACTGGCTACAGTGCCTCTGGCTGGACTCAGCTGTCCTGGGGCAGACCTCACTGAGATATGAATCTCCTGAAAATTTGGGTATGCGGGTTCTGTTACCAAAATCTCCAAGCTTTCTCAGGATAGGGATGAGCTACCTCCCCACACCTCCATGTGCCAGCCCCAACGGTCACATCCACACCCCAAAGTCACCACCCAGTTAAAAATAGCTACTCCAGCTGTGCCTTCTGATAAAAACAGTGAACACCCTGGACAAACATGATGACCTCTTGGTGCCTATATTGCAAACCATAATGCACAAAAGGAGAGAGAGAGAGAGAGAGAGAGAGAGAGAGAGAGAGAAAGAGAGAGAGAGAGGAAAGAAAGACAGAGAGACAGAGACAGAGAGAGGTTGTGGTAGGAAATATACACTGGTGGAGGGATAGTTGTTGGAACATTGTATGACTGAAACCCAATCATAAATAGCTTTGTGATGGTTTATGTCATGGTGATTCAATTAAAAAAAAACAAAAGTCTGAGCTATATAGTTTCTTACTGTTTTTATATTGATAACTATGTATGACTATATGAATATGTACCTAAAACTTATATAAAACTTATAATATAAGTTTTATATAAACGGCAAAGCCTGGCAAGCTCATCGTGACGTATTTGATATGCCAAATACAGTAACAAGAATCATAATGGGACGTTACTGGGCCCGCTTGAGTGAATCGATGAACAATGGAGGACAGTGCTACAGTGCTTTAAAATTATTTTAGGTACAGTGGTTTACAAAACTATTAATGGGAAGCTTCCATGCATAAAATATTCCCAGCACCACACCCTCCACCACTGTTCACTTACCTCCAATATAGTTCAAGCCCTTACTCATTGCCCACTGTGTTCAGCTTCCTACTGACAGCCAGTTCTTGGTTTTCTTGTCTTTGGGCATTTACTCCCTGGCTAATTTTCCAAATTTGACCTTTTTCAATAGTTGTTCTGCTGTGCTTTTTTATTTTGGACTCAATGTCTCAAGGGAATTGCCTATACAGAAGCCTTTTAAATTTTTTTATATTTTTGGGGGGTGAAGGTTGGGTCATCCACTCACTGAGCAATGATGAGGGATTACTCTTGGCCTTAAACTCAGGAATTAACGCCTGGAAGTACTCTGGGGACCATATGGGATACCAGGAATAGAAACTGGGTCAGCCGCCTGCAAGGCAAGAGACTTACCCACTATACTATTGCTCCAGCCCCAACAAAAGCCTTTTTCAAAGTGAACAGTCAGATGAAAATTTTAATATTGAAATCTTACTGGATAAAAGCATTGAAATTTTATTAAAATAATACATGGGGGAACTTTTAAAACTGCTGCTTTAAAAGTGGATGTTAAGTATTTTCTTCCACCACATTGCATAATTTTATATTATTTCCTCAAAGTTGTCTAGATTGCCTTGTTTCTACAATATTTGCATAATTATAAAGATTCAAGAGGAAAAACTTTAAAGTAAATGATATTTGCAGTGGATTGTAAATAGTGATGCAAATATTGAAAATTTTGTCTGTAACGGTTTCCTTTTCATGCTCTGTTACCATCCTATGGGTAAGTTAGAGAAACATTTCCAACAAGATCACTTCATCCACTCTAATTATAAAATATTTCTGTAATCTGATATAGACTTAATTCTACATTTAAGAGTTAATTGAGAACTCTTAAAGAGAGATGTAATGAAGTCATCTTCCTATCAGATACCCAGCAGTTTGATCAACAGCAGTTAGATAATATCATCTCTTTTCTTCTTACAGTGAGAAAATATTTCCTTCCTACCCTGAAACTGGAGCCTCAGCTGCTTCTGCCAGGGAGATGACTAGAGAGATGGTTCTCCAGTCCCAAAAGTAAGTGATTCAAAGTTTTGTCCCTTTTTCACAAAGTATGTTGCTTGCTCTTGTCAGATCTTCCCTAAGAAGATTATTTCTTGGAAAGGATCTTTGGCATACAGGTTACTTTCATATCATTGACACAATTCCAGGTATTATGTCTTCTTGTTTGTAATGTAATGATATTTTGTAAGCATTTCATTAAAAAAGTAGCCTTGCTCATTAAGAGGGAAATTTGAAATCTCTGTAGCATGTTAAGAAAAGGAGTCATGCCATTTGAGCATTCACAACAAAGATTTAGACCTGGAAGTTACTCTAGGAACAGCCTCTAGTTGTTGCTGTGTCTACTTGCTCGTGGTTTTTTTTTGTGATTCTCTGCTTTATGGAAACGGGATAATGAGGTGCATTGTGGCATATGTGTGGCCTGATATGTAATCAACTGATAGTTCAGAGGGTAATTTTAATTCTTTTTTTTTTATTACTTCAGTGGAGATTCAGTGGAAGGAATAAGCTTGCTCTTTTCCATGATTGCACAAGGACATCTTGAGAAAAGATTTTGTGATTGTGATCTGACTTTTTTGGTACTTAGGTGCCTGAATACCTCCATATTATAATTGTTTGTATCCTATTTCTAGAAACACTCATAAAGAGACCCTGTGAATTAGGATCTATGAAGAATGTTTTAAAATATGTTTTTTGAAAGCCTGTACCCTCTTTTCAGTGTGCATGGAAGTCTCATTGTGATCAGTAATTCATGATTATACCTCTCTTCTGTTTGTAGACTTTTAGGGAATCATACTTTTTTCATAGAATGAATTGATATACAAATGATGACATGTTCTTTATCTTATCAGAATGTCTCATGTAACATGTAACTGTAACATGATTATGACTCAGTAGACAGTGGTTGCAGGATGTATTGCATTGGAAGATTAACCTTGTTTTGTAAAGGTTAAAAAGGAAAAATAAGAGCAACTAAAAATTTAAAAAATAAGCGGATGAGGGAGTATTTCTTTAGCCGCCCACATAACATTTGCAAATCTGATAAATAGCTTTTGAAAAATTGTTCCTGAGAGTTTGTCATTGTTAATGCAATTTGTAGGCTTCAGATGTATGTTTGATCAACTGGAATGAAAAGAAAAAAGTATATGCTATATCTCTGATTTCTTCCTCATTCGAGTGAGCTTAAATCTTCAGTGCAGGATGGACATTTACCGTCATCACTCAGGCTACAAAGGAAATTAATTGAACAAGTGGGAAATTATTCCTTTAAATCTGAGAAACAGTGTTGTCACCCTCTTATCCCTCAATTACAATGTGCAGAATCTCGTTAGTATTTTATTGAAGATGCTTTTATGACTCTTTGTGTTTCATTAAACCCCAAAGCAATTTCTATAATATACGATGACAGGTGCTGAACTTCTGCTTGAGTTACTCTATGGGAGAGTCCATTGTGAAGCAGCGCTATCTCTTCTCTCTCGCCTCAGGAGAACCAATCTGCACAGTTTAATTTCTTCAAGCTGCTAAGAAGTTCTGTGTGTTTGGAATGCCCTTCCATGTATTTCTAAGCTGATTTTCTCGAGCAAAAACTTTTCCAGACAGTCCCTTTTACTATTGACTTTGGGACTAGATAACTCTATGTTGACAGGAGGTATCCAGTGCACCGTAGGGTAGTTGGCTAAATTCCTAGCCTTTAGGTGCCATTCCAGGAGAGGCCATCAGAGTCATCTCCAGACATTGCTGTTTGTCCTCTGTGGCAACAAAATGCCCTGATAGCCATTCTTCTACAGTGTTATTTTTCTCCAAACTTGAGGTTCCCTTCCCTTACAGGGATGTTATGCTTCAAGAATTAGTCGTCCTCCATATTATTATAGTGGTCCAGTGTGAAACCAAAGGGTGAATTAGGCAGGTGTTATGTAAAAGCCGTTGAAACAGTAACAGATGCTTTCAGCTTATGAACTCAATTTCACAACATGAAAAGCTACACTATGAGATAATTTAGGGTCATAGGTGGATTTAAAGACAGGAAGAACGAGATGAATGAGTGCTTTGTTCCCATTGCACTGGTGCTTTTTCCATCCTCAAATGCTAGACCAGAAATATGTCTTTTGTTTATAAAAGTTCTATTCTTTAGTAATTCATTAGTTTATATTTGTGATTGGTTGTGGTTTTCTAAAAAACAATTCTTTTTAAAAATGTGTCAAAAACTGGGTCAGAGAAACAGTACAGGAGTTAAGGCTCTTTTCTTGCCTTTAGTAATCTCAGTATGATACCCACTAACATGTTATTTCATAAGCACCTCCAGGAACCACCCCCCCCACCCCAAAGAACACAGATATGAGTAGCTCCTGATTACCAAAAGGTGTGGCTTACCTACCCCTTCCATTGTGTCAGAATAGAAACAGCTGTATTACTACGCTCACAAAGAAAAAGATCCACAAGAATTTACCTTTAAAAGGTGCTGTCCCTAAGTATATCATCATCTGCAATGATCAGTGCTCACTTGGCATCAGTATGTAGTGGGATCTCATTATTGTGTTACTATTACTTTGCTTACTATTCTCTTTGCTTTTACCATGCTCCTTAAAAAGTTTCTCTTTATTATTACAAACAGAACATTCTGGGCAACCATAATAAAGATCATGTGCTTAGAGCCCTTCAGTAGCGTCTTAGCTTATTACCAGTAAAAGACAAAACCTGTAAAACTGTCTACAAGAATAAATTTCTCCATTATCACCCTCTATTCCTCTCTTCCTTGCTTACTCCACCCCACCTACAGGGGCCATCTCAGTGTTCAGAGAACACACCTGTTCTGTCTTAGGAATTTTGCACCTGCTATTTCTATTGCCTACATTGTTTTTCTAAGGATGTAGGTATGCAACAGTTACTCACATTCTAGTGTGCTTCCATGCCACCCTTGTTAAGCTGCTGTCTCTAGCCCTTCCATACTCTAATACGTTGTTCTTTCATCTTTGTTTTTTTTTAATCTATGTAACTGTTCACAATTGAGTTTCAGGTGTATAGTGTTCCAACAGTAGTCTCATCACCAGCATCAGCTTCCCTCCACCAAAGTCCTCAAGTTCCTTCCCAGCCCCCAACCTGTGTTCATTTTTTTTAGATGTATAAAGATGATTTATTTTTTGTACCATTAATATGACTTTTTTCCCCTTAAATTTTTATTAGTGAAACACCATGAGGTACAGTTGTAGACTTACAAATTTCTGTGCTTGGGGTTGGGAGGTTCCGCTCACAATGGGAGATGCGTGATGAGAGTAGACTATAGACCGAAGATGATTGCCAACCTGTGTTCTTGATGGGCACATTTTTAAGTTTGCTTGTTTTAAGTTGTGGTTTGGATCTCATTGTTATAGTATTGTTGTCTCTGTAGTATAAATATATATGTACACAACACCTTTATACCACAGGTGTGAGTAAGCCCCTGACCCCTGCCCTAACCAACTTATTATATCTTGAAATTATATACATTTGTATTCGTGCATATCTGCAGATATGTAAGTAAATGACTTATTTAATTGTTCAGTTAGATACTAACTCAAAGAATTTTCTGTCAGTGGCTTCACATCTTAATCTATATTTATATTGTATGTATTAGTTATGGTTCAGTAAAGAATCAAAACTAGCAGGGAAAATATAGTTGCACGAATAAATATGAATTTATATATGTATTTGTTGAATATATATGCACTATCCTTACAGTTATATTTATATTTATAAAAAGGTATTTTAATAAATTTGGTGGAGACTGAGAAATCCTGAGATCTACAACTAGCAAAACTGAGGCTCAGGAGAGCTAGGTGTATAAGCTCCAGTTGAAAAGACAGCTGGCTAGAGACCCAGGAAAAATCATTTTTGCAGTTTGAATCCAAGAGCAGGAAGATATCAGTGGCCCTCATACTCCAAGGAGGGTCATTTTTTTCAGTTTTTTCTTTTGTTTTGATTAAAACACAATTTTTTCTATTGAAGCATAGTATTTATACAATATTGCTAATGTCAGGGTTTCTTGTATACAGTGTTCCAACACCACACCCTCCACCTGGATCATCTCCTGAAAACACCACCACTCTCCCCACCCCCACTGCACTGCCCTACCTTATTGGTCAGCCCATTTCTATAAGCCAGTTTTGACGTTCTTTTATGTCTGACCACAGACTACTTCCTTAACTGACTGGATGAAGGCCATCAAAACTGCAGGGTCAATTTTCTGTACTCAATATTATTTTCCTCTATAAAAAGACTCATAGTAAGTGCTGTTTGTCTTCGAAAGTAAAAGCAATATGTTTATTTGTTTGCTAAATAAAGGAGGAACATTTGAAAAGATATCCGAAACGTTCAAAAACTGTACTTTAAAAAAAATTCAAAAGACCTGAATAAGCAGCTCAGGGATAGAACACAAGTTGAGCATGCATGAATCCCTATATTCAAGTCTGACAACAATTGACAGAAGACGAATTAATTTAAATAAACAAATTGAAAATCTACACTCTATAGTATTTGTCCAGAGGCTACTAATCTTTAAAAAATGTAAACTGAGTTTGCACAGCAGTGGGCGGAAATAGCAGTGACAGGGATAGTGGTAGAGGATCTTTGTGGGTAGTGAAGATGCGCTAAATTTCTATAGCAAAACTGAAAACATTAACCTGCTGTAGCCATTCTACCTAACCTACAATAAATATTTAAAACTTAAAAAAAAGATGTGTTTTTTTTAAAAAATTTCCAGTTGAGGAATACAATCTCCAACTAAAGATTTTATTTCTCTTTATTTCACTGTCAAAATCGTATAAATGCAACTCATTCTTCCAAGTGAGGGACTTCTCTCTTCTTAATATTTTTTATTTTATCAATGATTCAAAGAAAATTGAACAAATTTTAAGTTTTACAGGACAGTCCAAAAGTGAAAAAATGTAATTTTTGCAAAAATAAATATATTCCTACATTTTCTTTTTAATCACAATTGCACCAAAAGATTTCCCTGTAAGAATGTATCTCTATAGGATGAT